TAATGAAAGTATTGAAGAGTTTACGAGGAAATGTCGATTGTGAGGTAGAATAAGATCGATACGATTTTCTCGATCAACTTCATCCAAATTCCCAACCTCCGGGATATCTTTCATCCCGAAGAGATCGAGCGTCTTCTCTCGGATTCCATAGAATGTAAGCCTGAATACGACGATGAATGTCGAGTAGAACGATTCTTCTGGCTCGTGGGTCATCGAGCTTTTTGTGGAACTTAAGCCAATGAAAACGTTGTTTTTCAGTCGATCTGTATTAAAAATACCGATGGCGGTTATAGGTTTAAATCGAATTATCTTGACAACGCATTTTTATGATTAAACATCTATTAACGTAAGAAAAAACCTACAGTGGAATATAAATTTTAACGTTTATACATTTTCATTAAATTATTTTCAAAGAAGTTGAATCATAATTATTATGTATTCGTCGATATTTATCAAAGAAATCGTCGCTTGTATATTTTCATAATATACACTAATACATGGCTACATCGTCGAGTCAATTTACTTTCCAATTGAACGTATACCAAACTTCGCCAGAGTAAACAAAGAGAAAATCGCGCATCGATCGTAGCAAGAGATTTTCGTGCAAAATAATCAAAAATTATATTTTCACATTGTTAGCAACTTACATGTCCGAGTCCAACGTCGAAACATTGGAAAATTTAAAGAGCCTACGAGCAAAAGTCGATTGGAAAAATCGAGAAGGAGCGACACGATCTTCTCGACGAGCTTTTTCCTCTGTTCATTGCGTTCGAGTGGAAGAGCTTGTCCTGGAGAGTCTGAACGATTGAGTTCAGATTGTTTCTGGCTTCCCGCATGCCGATCGTCGTCGAGCGAAATTTTTCGGGTTGTTCGACGAGCCGGAAAATCTCGAATCGTTTCTCGTGCTTGGCTTGCATGGATCATATCAACAAATTGGTCGCGACGTTGTCGAATTTGCGTCCTGATTTGAATAATGAAAACTTCGTCGTAGACGGTATAATTGCGGCTGTAGATAAAACATTACAATTATAAAAACTCGGGCTTTTTAAATTGAATTCACGAATTCGTATATTATTAATAAATGTTTTTGTTTTTCTAATTTTAATTCAGTTTCAACGACTACTCATTGATTTTTTTTCTTTCATTATTCTCATACATAGAGTAGAAAAAAAAGTAATCAATGTTTGAACGTCGTCGATACAAATACCCAACGATATTACGATCAAAGAGTATCCAAGTTCGTATAATGTTTGTGTATATACAATAAAATACGTACAGTACAGCTCTGGAAGCCATCAAAAGCGAGGCCTACACACATATTCTTTGTATGTACAGCCCGTTATAATATAAGCACACGAGAGCGAGATCGATACGCGTTACGTGTCCGTATAGTAGTACACTATACAGCACGTGTGCAAGTGTATACATTATATGATATTATTATGGACAGGTCGATCGGCTCGGCTGTATATATAGCTTCGGGAACAGGTGTCCGCCGCCGCTTGGCGCGAGAGCTGCTCTTCCGGTCTAGTGTATATTATGTATATAGATATAGCTATGTGCACCACCCACCAGCAGCGACGACGAATTTATATCGATGCGACGATTATCGTATATTATACAGCAGGATAGAACCACGCTGATAGTTGCCTGTATTTCAGTTTATTTCATTTTTTTTCCCTCTTTCTTTGAGATTTATACGAGGGATTTGCGTGCCTAGGATGTACGTATATTAGACGCGATTCGTGCTATATGAGGAAGGAAACATCCGATGGCCTGCTTGGAATGAAAATTGATTTTCGTGTTTTGCGGTTTCTGGTGTATTATAACGATGATACACGACTTAGATCCGTGTGCGTGCATAATTTAAGGTCGTTGATCCTCCCGTACTTGTTCGAGCTACGAGTGTTATAGCTCTATCGACGATCGTTTACACATTGCTTTCTCGATGCTCCATGCGGGTCAGAGAACGAAATTTTTTTCTTCTCTATATTTGTTCTACGGATAGACTCTCGACGCTGCAAAATCTGTCGGTCGCTAAGAGTCAATTTTATATACAAACGTATATATATGAGCTGGTATAGACCGTCGCACTTGACCCTGAAAAACTCGAGTATCATCGTCCTCGCGGCTCCGATCCGTATTATATACGAGCGTGCAAATTGCGTCAAGTGCATAATAATAACCCACGAGCGTCGAGCTCTTGTGCTATGTGGATATATATACAAGTATAAATGTTGTCTGACTTTCGATTCGGTTGGGCATCGTGTGTTCCTATACTGCACTCGTCGAAGCGCAGGTAATTTTGCGATACATAGCTCTCTTTTATCGATATACCCTTTTGAGTGACACCGGAGGGCGGGGTTTTCCGATCGGTTAAACGCGACGAGTCAGTCACGCGTAGTATGCTATTTTGTATTCGTATTTGTTTTGTTTTTTTTGTTTTTTTTTTTTCATCGTGGAATTCGTGCATGACGAGTAAAAGAAAAAAAAACAGAAGCGCATTACGATCTAATGCCCTGACCGAGAGACTTATAAAGTCGGGTTAAGGCCGTGCAGCGTCGACGCGCTCACTATTATAGTATGCACTCGCGTTTTTCTTCGAGAAAATCCATAATACAACGCTTTGTCGTGGCAGCAGCGAAATCGAGTTCACACATTTGACTCTCGGACCTTGGAGTTATCACTTTTTTTCCTTCATTTTCCTCGCGCTCGTGCAACAATAACAACGATCGCGTTATATGGCGCGAACCGAATATAGACGGTGAGCCAATCAGCGAGATGATCCACGCGCAGGCAAATGAGCTTTTTTTCGTATACACTGAGAATCAGGTTTTGCACATATATATACGAGCGCGATCGTATCATCCTTCATTTTTTTTTTATTTTTGACTTTCTCACAGCTCCGAATTTATAATAACTCGTTAACGTCACTCTCGCTCGTTGCTGTCCGCGCGTGTGCATATGTCCTACTCGTCGAGGACGTACATAATATTGTGACGAGAAGACATGTATTCGCAGTAACGTTGCGTCTGCGTCCAGGAATAATCTACACATTTATATAAAAGTTTCCTATACTTCTCTCTCTTAACTTTTACGCGATACATACATATATTCGTGTGTATATTAAGTCCAAATTCGAGTCTCGAAATCCGAGAAGCCGCGAGAAATTGATTCGGCAAGTCGAGAGAGAGAGAGAGAGAGAGAGAAAACCTGCCAGTCAACCGCACGCACGCACGCGCGTAATACAACGTATACTACGCATTTCCTCCTCTCTCTCTCATTTTATTTATTTTTTTACTTTTTTCGCCGTACATATAAGAAGAGAAATAACTTCCACTCCCTCTCGCGAAAGCTCCTTAAAACCGCGTCACGTACGCGCGTGCATGCGGGCAGAGCTAGCTTAGGAAAGAGATTTCCATACCGCGCGCGCGAGCAGCGTGATTTTTTCCCCGCCGATTTTTGTGTAAAACAAGAAAAAAAAAAGAAAGAAAACGACGAATCCCCCTCACCTGTTAAAAGCTCAGCTCGCGCGGAAAAGAATAACATGTGTGTATAAACACAACAGCGACTCATGGTTAACGAGCTACAGTGCATATGGGTTCTCTTTCTTATTCATATATACCTGTGGGCAGCGATATGAATTCCATATGAGAGAGAGAGAGAGCCTCGGCAAGTAGGGGGCCGGGGCCAGACGCGTACATGTATACGTATATACCCCGGGCAAATTACGCATGCGTGAAGTGACTTATCATTATCTGGCCTTTAATGCTTGGCTTGCCACCGGGTTCAAGGGACCTGCTGCTGCTGCTATATAGCCGATGTACGTGTGTGTATATGGTTTAAATTGCACACCAGTACGTTATACATGTTTGCCTTCTTTCTCTCGTTTCTCCGTGGTTATACGCTTCTTTTTTTTTCATCTTTTCTTTTCCTTCAATTTTAACCCATTACTTACGACGCGTTGCACACACCGCAGCAGCGCATTGTATCATATAGGTAAAGCGAGTCTCTCGCCGATATCACCTTTTACTTCCTGCGCACAGAGGGAGTTGCTAGGTCTTCTTTTCCGCTCGAGACTCGAGAGAGTGAGTAAGGCGATTGAGACGATCGTCGTCTGCGTCTTTCGTTTCATGCACGCGGTGGCACGTGCGTTGGCTGTTTTGACAACCTGTCTGGAGTTCAAGTGGCGCGATGAGTCATGAATTTATTTTTATTCCTCTTACTTTTATTCACGAATCATTGCCTCGGATTTGTCAGGGGGTTGAAAAAAATCGGCTCGTAATCGCGACAAACTTTCCCCACGTACTTTACAAAAATCATAGATAAAAAAAAAAGGGGGGTTACGCGTGTGTGCGTGAGTGTCATCGATTAATTTTTTTTTACCGCTGAATCACCGTCGTCGACGCACTCATACGAACGCATCGGTACACGAACTTGGTGCAGCTATATATCTAGCTCTCTGTTACACGGATGCGCACAATGCGCGGAAGGAGATAGATAGATCTCTGCTCTAACGCCATCGCGAACACACACACACACACGCACAGACGCGTCTTCGTTGCAAAATAGCCGTGAAACTGTTGCCAAGCTGCTCGTTGCGCGGATCGCGTAATGCATAATTTATGGATTATGACGTCACCGGGCCCGCGTGTGGCACACACACGCGTGATGCGAAATGTTGTGAGTTTTCAAGTCTGCTCTGCTGCAGCTCTAATGTTTCATTACTTTGTACAATCGAATAATTGTTTTATGTTCTTAAATTTTATTAAAATTTTTGGGATTAGTCTGGAAATGCAAAATTGACATCAACTTCAAAATTTTATTAGCTTATAATTGAAAACGTGTGTCTTAATTTTCCTCGAAAAAATTTATTAAATTCCACAAAAATTGAACTCTGCTTTTACATAATTAAATAACATTCGAAAAATACATAATATTATTATAAATGAACATTTTTAAATAAGATTTACGAATATGAATATTCAATTTTATGCACATTAAGTTTTAATGAACCTGCGATGAACTGTTTCAAGGTGGGTTTTGAGATTGCTCTTCTGTGTGAATGTCTTTTCACATTTATCACATGCGTAGGTAATACCATTATGCACTGAATCGATGTGTCTTTGGAGATTATTCTTACTTACATACGCCCTACCGCATGTGCCACATTTTTTAGGATTGTCATTGTGCAGCGAATCGATGTGTACTCGGAGAGCGCTCGTTCTTGTGAATTTTTTCCCGCACATATCACATACTCGTTCAGTACCATTGTGCGCCGTATCGATGTGTCTTTTGAGATTGCTCTTCAGTGTGAATGTCTTCCCACATGCATCACATGTGTAACTAACACCATTATGCACCGAATCGATGTGTTTTTTTAATGTACTCTTTTCTGAGAATGTCTTCCGGCATATATCACATGCATACGTAATTTTATGATGCACCGATTCGATGTGGATTTTGAGATTTGTTTTCTGTGTGAATGTCTCTTGGCATATATCACATGGATGCGTGATTTTACGATGTACCGAATCGATGTGGACTTTGAGATTCGCTTTCTGTGTGAATGTCTTTTGGCATATATCACATGCATGCGTGATTTTGTTGTGCACCGAAACAATGTGCTTTCTGAGACTACTCCTTTCTGAGAATGTATTTTGGCAAATATCACATGGATGCGGGATTTTATTATGCACCGATTCGATATGGGTTTTGAGAGTACCTTTTTGTGCGAATGTCTTTCCACAAATATCACATGGATACGTAATTTTATGATGCAGCGATTCGATGTGGGTTTTAAGAGTACCTTTTTGTGCGAATGTCTTTCCGCAAATATCACATGGATATGTAATTTTATGATGCATCGAATCAATGTGCTTTTTGAGATTACCTTTTTGTGCGAATGTCTTTCCGCAAATATCACATGGATACGTAATTTTATGATGCACCGATTCGATGTGTATTTTGAGATAATTTTTACTTCTGAACGTCTTTTGGCACGTACTGCATGTATGTATGCCACCACTTTGCACACCGTCGATATTTTTTTTGAGATAAACTTTACTTGAAAACTTTTTTTCGCATGTTCCACATCCGAGAGTTTTTATTTATCGTTCTGCGTCGTACCGATGTGCATTTTGAGGTTATGCTCGCTTTTTTCAATTCTTCTCTTTTTGCTTCGTTCCTTAAGTTCACAGTTTAAATTCAAATTTGACTCTTCCGCGGCGAAGCCAACAAATTTCTGTTGCATTATTTCACCCACGGGTTCCACTTTAATTATTTTTCGAGTTTTACAACCATCAGTATCTTTCATATCCTGCAAAAAATTTTGAGAGTCTTCTTCAACTTTGTTGACTGCCAATAAATGAATGTAAGGCTTGACGTTTTCGCATTCAACAACTATTTCCACTTCGTCATCGAGTTCATTTTCAAGTTTAATGTTACATTTTCGAATGGTACGAGTCTGTTGAAAAATCAAAACTACGTTAAAATTTTCATTAAAAAGCCAAAGCAATACCAGTTACTTATAATTATCAACACTTACTGAATTTTCCGACGGAAATGTCAAGAGTTGTAAGTTTTTAAGATCTGGTTTCTCGTCCATCATTTTTCCATTATATTGAATAAGCGACTCATCGATAGGCTCCTCTTTCACCCTGAAATAACCTCAATAAGTTCAAGCATTTTCTAATGATATTACATTATAATGTTATTCTCAAAAAATAAAAGTTACCTGACGGCGCGGTTAAATAAATCACTTGAATCCATCCTTCTCACTAGGGATTATCCATCAACAACTAATGTTTCTGCGATGATCGAGCGAACTATCTCGGGACGACTGTTGTTTACGTCGTGCGTCGACCGCATGACCTCTCCGTGCTCTATGCCCGGCCTGCGGACTGCGGCGTCTCGCTACACTCAAATTTTCAAAATAAATATTTGCGAGTATAGCGCACGGCTTGAATTCGATTCAAGTAGCGTCATCTAATGTATTTCGCGGGATTTACACGATTAATTTCACGAATTATACGTCAACGGCCAATCAAAAAGGTATAAACGTGAGCGCAACTATGCACCCAACAGTTTATACGAGAAACGTTCGCACGTCGCGCGTGCGGCAATTAATTTTACAAAGTTTCTGGTAAACATGTTATAGCTCGCGAGAGATAGTGTATAAATTCATTACTCGTTCATACATTTTTTTTTCGACGTACAAACAATCGAGAAAATATTTGTCGAAGTTATAAAAGACTGTAGTCAATTATTAATAAACGATTCGAGGTGTGCGCGTGCACGCAGGAAAGTGAAATTCGACGCTTCTATACATTTATAAGTATATATTATATCTCCTGTCCACACGGAGGATAAATTCAAAACGCGTCGTAAAGCACTAACAAAAAGCAAGAGGAAAAAAGTAACGATTCGAGCGAATACGATAATGACAATGGGCCATTGTGCGCCGCGACGTCGTCGCTGCACTGCGCCAGACGCATTATGTGCAAAAAAAAAAAAAAAAGAAAAAAAAAACTATTAAAAGTCTCGTCACGCTTGGGCTCTCGCGTCTCTCGTCGCTGTGCAGTGTCGTTTATCTCTCGTTGTCGCATCGTCATTTCGTTCCTTTTTTCTTTTTTTTCGTTTCAATTGATGACCTTTTGGTTTATAATGTTAACGACGTGTTCCTCGTTCGAGAGACACTCAATTAGACGAGCAATATTTTTTGACGTTTCGAAAACAGCAATGAGTATCGATAATTCACAACGTTGATGTGAAGTTCCATCGAGTGGCCTGAGAATTAAAAATTTCCCCGTTCCGAGCGATTTTCTGACCTTGACTTCGTGAAATCTCACACGATACATGACGTTTTCGATCGAAAATTCAGGACGCGTGCAGCAAGAGTAGCTGCTTACGAAAATTTTCCCGCGCACGCACGCACAGAGATCGGCCGCCTCGAGGCACAACTAATATAGCACGATACTTTTTTTTGTCGGCGGCCATACGATATGTGCCAAGGATCGTTATTATCGATTATTATTTTGTTGTTATTTTTTTTTTACTTCGTTTCGCCAATTAGCTACTCGCGAGAAATCGGTATTTTAATTGAGGTAGAAGGTATGAATCAAGCATAAATCTCGAATCATAAGCGCCGAAGGTAAATGATATTATTTCATTTTGAGTCACTGGCCGCAGTGAAATTTTCTCGAAGGGAAACTTCTCAGTGCTTCTGCTTCTGCTGCTACGGCGATCAATCGACAAAAGCCGATCGCGCGTCGGTCCGCGACCGCTCAGAAAATGATTTTAGTGAATAGATAAGAAAAATATTCTAAATTACTAGTGATTACTCGTGAGTGCACCGAACAATGGACATGTCCGACGACGACGACGAAGACGATCCCTACCAAAGTTCCAATGAAAACATCTACGAATGTGAGTGTTTTTTCGGAGGCGGTGACAGCTGTGCCGCAGACAAAAACGACGACGTCAACGACCTAGATTCCGAGAACGAGACGGATCGAGATATTCTAAGCTCGAAAAGATTGAAGGATATGCGCGAAAAGGTCGATTGGAATACTTACGAGGAGCGACGCAAATTTTTCTATCGACTCGTTCGTCTGATCGACGATTGGAAGGGGCCTGCGCTTTCTAACCTCCGGGAAATTTTCCGAGCCGACGAGATCGAGCGTCTTCTCTCGGATCACGTCGACGGTTCCGACGGCCGTCTGTACGTTTACGGGAGAGACTCGTTCATCGACGTATTGATCGACACTAGCTACAAAGACGAGCCCGAGGTCGATAGCGAAGGCAAGACACTTTTGCGTCGCACCACGCCGATTCATCGCGCGGCCAGATGCCCGAATCTCAACAGGAAATTCGTGATCTGTCGGCTTTTTGAAATATACGACAGGTTTGATGTAAATTTCATCGACGAAGATGGATTAACGCACTTCCACGTGGCCTGCAAGTTCGGCTGCGAGGAAGCCGTCGAGAAATTCCTCGAGTCGGGACAGGATCCCGATCGTCCGGAGCCGAGAACGGGCCAACCGCCGCTTCACTTGGCTCTGAAGAGAGCCCAGATGGACGTAGTCGCCGTGCTGCTGAGAGCCGGAGCGGATCCGAATCTGGCCAACGACGAGGGACGCACTCCGCTGCACATGATCAGCAACAGAGACGAACTCTACGACGCCAATAACGATTGCTTGATGGAGACGTTTTTCGAGGTCTGCGACGAGCTGAAACGGCCGGTGCGGATCGACGTCCGTGACGACGAGGATAGGACACCGCTGCAGTGGGCCGTGGCGGGAATCGAGCCGCGCATGGTGGAGATACTCTTGGCGCGCGTCGCGGACTTGTCGAGCTTCCGCTTCCCCGACGCGAGCTACTTCGGTGGAGTGAATCCGCCCAGAGATTGGGAACCCAATTACGAGTTCAGAGGCGATTTAAAAAGTGCATCGGGCGCTCTCATGATCTTCGAGTCGTTGGAAACCAAAGGATACGTGTTCGACCCGACTGAAGCCCTGACGATAATGGGATTCTTCTTCCGCAATCGGTTGCTCGACATGACGGACGACGACGACGACGACGATTGGTACGACGACGAGAATTTTCTGGAAGACGCGGGAAAAATAATCATAGGCGACATGTGTCTCAACGAGCTCGTCAGGTCGACGCCCGAAGAGGTGGCCGAAAAAGTCAAGTTCGAGGACTACTTCGGGTACGCTCGCGAGGACTCCTTGCGCGACATGCCGGACAGATTGGCCGGACACGTGTGCGAGATGATGTCGCGAGGATTTTTTCGACGATGGGCACTGGACGCGTTCCGCGAGACAATAAGGCGTCATTACTGGCTGTCGGAGGAGTGTTGCAAGATGATCGTCGCGCATTTGAAGAACAAAGATTTGTACAACATCTGCTTGGCGGTTACGGGTCCAAGATGAATTATTCGCCGGTTCTCCCGTGTCTCGTTCGATAATAAATGTATTGGATTAACTTCGATTTTGATTTTTCTCAGCTATTATGGTCGTACCGTGATGATAACTGCGCGTCAAATCGTAAAGTCAGCGATGTCGTAGAGCTAATTATGAAGAATCGATTTGACATTTGACATTTTACGCGAGATACACCTTCTGCAAAAATCCTCGTTTCATGATTTTTATGCTTAACAAAACCGTACAGATTGATAAAAATATAGATCGATTGATTCAAATGAAATATCATGTTTTTTTTTTGTAAAAAGTTTATTGATTTTTTTAAAACTCGATCGTTTTTTAAGCAGTGAGATAGAAAATGTAGAAGTAATCCAAAATATAATGATAATTGTTTTTTACAAAATTTTAACGTACATCTTATACATTTATCGGGTGGTAATGCCTGAGTGATGTGCTACATCGATGGAAGTTTTATGGCCACTCATTTGTCACGATGTTTTTTCGTTTTAAAATCCTTGTCATTGATGTCTTGCTTGGTTATCGCCATTGTGCACAAATTTGACGTGTCTATATAAATATTTTCTCTGTGGAAATTTTTTTCCGCAAAAAACACATGCAATGTCTTCATGCAATGTTTTAATGTGAATTATAAATCGATGCTTTTGTGAAAATGTCTTGCCGCACGTATTACATACATGAGTGGTGTATTGAATTCATGTGCATTTTGAGACCATTCTTGAATGCGAATTTCTTTCCGCACACTTCGCAAGTAGGTGCCTTACCATTATGCATCGAATCGATGTGAATTTTGAGAATATCTTTTCGTGCAAATTTTTTACCGCATATATTACATGGATGTTTAACACCATTATGTCCATCGATGTGAATCTTGAGATCTCCTTTTCGTGTGAATGTCTTTCCACATAATTCGCATGTAGGTGCCATACCATTATGCATTGTATCGATGTGAGTCTTGAGATGACCTTTTTGTGAGAATGTCTTTTCACACATACCACATGCATGTTTAACACCATTATGAACTGAATCGATGTGGGTCTTGAGTGCTGTCTTCGCTTGAAATTTTTTTCCGCATAATTCGCATGCAGGTGCCATACCATTATGCATCATATCGATGTGTCTTTTCAGATTACTTTTTTTTGTAAATGCCTTTCCACATACACCACATGCATGTCTAATACCATTATGTCCGTCAATGTGCATCTTGAGTGCACTCTTCGTTAGAAATTTCTTTCCGCACACTTCGCAAGTAGGTGCCATTTCTTTATGAATCGCATCGATGTGAATTTTGAGCTTTTCTTTTCGTGTGAATGTCTTTCCACATGTGCCACACGCATGTTTAACACCATTATGTACTGAATCGATGTGGATTTTAAGACCTTGCTTAGTTGAGAGTTTCTTTCTACAAATCTTGCATGTATGTTTGATACCATTATGTACCTCATCGTTGGGCTTTTCGCATAGACTTTTTTGAGCAAATGTTTTTTCATTTGCATCAAATGCATCACTGAATTCACGATCCAAATTCAACTCTCCTTTTACTTCGTCGACAATTTCTTCTTTAATTTTCTTTTGAGTTTGATAATCGTAACTATTTTCCATATGCTGCAAATGATCTGGATAATCGTCCTCTATCTTTTTGACTACTAATAAGTTAATGCTGGACTTTTCGTCCTTACATTCGAATTCTATTTTAATATCTTTAGGGCCATGAGTCTAAAAATATATAATTTAAATTTAAGATTAGAGAAAATTGCTGTAAAAAATTTTAGCTATAAGCAGTCCGAAATCAACACTTACTAAATTTTCTCGACAAGAACGCGAGAATTCGTCAGTGTTAGCGTCGTGTGCATTGTCAATTAACTGATAATCATCATTTTCAATCGGGGAATCGTCGTTTGGTTCCTCCTTCACTCTGCAATATTCACATTGAAATTAAGTATAATACTAACATTTTTTGAAAATGTCATTCTCAAGAAATAAAAATTACCTGACGTTACAGTTATATACACCACTGAAGTCCATGTTTCTCATTTGGAATTTGAACAACGACTAGTGGCTCTATAACGATGATATGTACATTGAACTAGGTAACTTGATCGTGACAATATTTATAAATCGTGAAACGAGAGTTTGAGAAAATTTATGTCAACAGAGCCACTCTAAACTTGGTATATATTATTGGAGAAATTATACCATCGATCTCCGGCGTAATAAACAATCAGTAATTTTCTTTGTATTTTATTACAAAGAAATTATTGAATAGAAAAAAGTAATGAGTAAACATGCGAGGATCGTTGAAGTTTTTTGATGATTATGTCGAAATTTATATCGTCGTTGGTGGCGAATTGGTATTATACGAGTTTGCCCTTTCGCTTCTGCAGCGCTGCAATACATCGTCCGTTGTGGAATGTGGTATATATTCTCATATGACTTTGTAACGTCTTTTACTGTATAGGGGAGAACCGACTATTATGGCGCACCTAACGCATTTTGTCTAATAACAAAAAATGTGCTCGATGATATGAAATTCTAAACTGAACATTTCTCAATACACATTTCTCATAGAAAGACGGGTGCATTTTCAAAGATTAAGGTATAAGGAATAAAGTGTTTATTTATTCATAAACAAGGATTCTAAGAAAGTTGTCACTGCGCCGCGATCGGCTCGTTTTTCGCCTATTATGGCGCACATGCTTTTCAGGCTTTAACCTCAAAAAGTGATGTCGTCTGTTTTCGAGGCGCACATCAAATTAACATGTAAAAACGTGCGCCATAATTGGCCCCGATGATGCGCCGCAATAGGATAAAAACAAGGCTCTCTTATATTGCAAATTACTTAATAACCAATTGATGAATCGTCGATATTAAAGCATCATGTTAAAGTAGAGCACAAATACTTTATCTCCATGTGTACTATAAATTGCGTTTGAGCTGTGAACACTCTATATTCTCAAGTTTAAAACTCGTAATTATTAGATGAAAACAGCCGAATTTTTTATATTGCTTGTCATTCATTATTGAAGATATAAAGCAATAATTTTTTTTGCAAAAATTAATTGATTCACATGTATAGAATATACTACATAAATTTTAGTTAGGTGAAATATCTCAAACTATGCTAAATGAACGTGTGCCGCACTACGCGCTGCGCCATAATAGGCGCTTCTCCCCTATACGTGGGATGGATACACATTTCGTTCAGTTCTTTACGACGCTGCAGCGCAAAGAACAACAAAAGCCGATCGCGACCTTCGACCTCTAGCAGCTGGTGATTTTGGTGAAAAATTAATAAAATATCCCATAAATTATTAGTGATTGCGTACGCGAGTGCCATCGAACAAAATGGACGTGTCTGGCTACGACTACGATCCCTACCAAAGTGCCAATGAAAACATCTATGAATAAGAATCTTTTGGAAGACTCGGGAGAAATAATCATAGGCGACATGTGTCTCGCCGAGCTGGTCAGGTCGACGCCCGAAGAGGTGGCCGAAAAAGTCAAGTTCGAGGACTACTTCGGGTACGCTCGCGAGGACTCCTTGCGCGACATGCCGGACAGATTGGCCGGACACGTGTGCGAGATGATGTCGCGAGGATTTTTTCGACGATGGGCACTGGACGCGTTCCGCGAGACAATAAGGCGTCATTACTGGCTGTCGGAGGAGTGTTGCAAGATGATCGTCGCGCATTTGAAGAACAAAGATTTGTACAACATCTGCTTGGCGGTTACGGGTCCAAGATGAATTATTCGCCGGTTCTCCCGTGTCTCGTTCGATAATAAATGTATTGGATTAACTTCGATTTTGATTTTTCTCAGCTATTATGGTCGTACCGTGATGATAACTGCGCGTCAAATCGTAAAGTCAGCGATGTCGTAGAGCTAATTATGAAGAATCGATTTGACATTTGACATTTTACGCGAGATACACCTTCTGCAAAAATCCTCGTTTCATGATTTTTATGCTTAACAAAACCGTACAGATTGATAAAAATATAGATCGATTGATTCAAATGAAATATCATGTTTTTTTTGTAAAAAGTTTATTGATTTTTTTAAAACTCGATCGTTTTTTAAGCAGTGAGATAGAAAATGTAGAAGTAATCCAAAATATAATGATAATTGTTTTTTACAAAATTTTAATATACATCTTATACATTTATCGGGTGGTAATGCCTGAGTGATGCGCTACTTCGATGAAAGTTTTATGGCCACTCATTTGTCACGATGTTTTTTCGTTTTAAGATCCTTGGCATTGATCTCTTGCTTGGTTATCGCCATTGTGCACAAATTTGACGTGTCAATACAGATATTTCCTCTGTGGAAATTTTTTTCCGCAAAAAACACATGCAATGTCTTCATGCACTGTTTTAATGTGAGTTATAAGTCGATGCTTTTGTGAAAATGTCTTGCCGCACGTATTACATACCCGAGTGGTGTATTGAATTCATGTGGGTTTTGAGACTATTCTTAAATGCGAATTTCTTTCCGCACACTTCGCAAATAGGTGCCTTACCATTATGCATCGCATCGATGTGATTTTTGAGAACAAATTTTTGTGTGAATGTCTTTCCACACACACCACACGCATGTTTCACACCATTATGTCCATCGATGTGAAGCTTGAGTGAACGCTCGGTTAGGAATTTCTTTCCGCACATTTCGCAAGTAGGTGCCATACCATTATGCATTGCATCCATGTGAAGTTTGAGACCACTCTTGAATGCGAATTTCTTTCCGCACACTTCGCAAGTAGGTGCCTTACCATTATGCATCGCATCGATGTGCATTTTGAGAGGTCCTTTTTGTGTGAATGTCTTTCCACACACACCACACGCATGTTTAACACCATTATGTCCATTGATATGCCTCTTGAGATCTCCTTTTTGTGTGAATGTCTTTCCACATAATTCGCATGTAGGTGCCATACCATTATGTATCGCATCGATGTGAATTTTGAGCTTTCCTTTTTGTGTGAATGTCTTTCTACATATACCACACTCATGTTTAATACCATTATGAATTGCACCGATGTGAATCTTGAGATCTCCTTTTTGGGTGAATGTTTTTCGACATGTATCGCACGTATGCTTGACACCATTATGAACCGAATCAATGTGGATTTTAAGGTTACCCTTGGTTGATAATTTCTTTTTGCAAATCTCGCATGTATGTTTGGTAACATTATGCACCTCATCGTTGGTCTTTTCGCATAGACTTTTTTGAGCAAATGTTTTTTCATTCGCATCAAATGCATCACTGAGTTCACCATCCGCATTCAATTCTTCTTTTATTTCGTTCTCAATTTCTTTTTTAATTTTCTTTTGGGTTTGATTATCGTAACTATTTTCCATATGCTGCAAATGATCTGGATAATCGTCCTTTATCTTCTTGACTACTAATAAGTTAATGCCGAGCTTCTCGTCCTTACATTCGAATTCTACTTCGACATCGTCAGGGCTACGAGTCTAGAAAAATAATTTGAATTCAAGATTAGGGAAAATTGTTGTTGAAAATGTCAGCTATAAGCAGTGCTATATGAACACTTACAAAATTTTCTCGACATCGCAAGGATTCTTCAGTGTTCGCATCGTTTGCATTGTCAATTATCTGATAATCATCATTTTCAATCGGGGGATTATCGTTTGGTTCCTCCTTTACTCTGCAATATTCACATTGAAATTAAGTATAATACTAACATTTTTTGAAAATGTCATTCTCACGAAATAAAAATTACCTGACGTTACAGTTATATACACCACTGAAGTCCATGTTTCTCATTTGGAATTTGATCAACGACTAACGGCTCTATAACGATGATATACACATTGAACTAGGTAACTTGATCGTAACAATATTTTTAAATCGTGAAATGAAAGTTTGAGAAAATTGTTGTCAACAGAGCCACTCTAAACTTGGTATATATTATTGGAGAAATTATACCATCGATCTCCAGCGTAACAAACAATCAGTAATTTTCTTTGAATTTTATTACAAACAAATTATAAACAGATGAAAGTAATAAGTAAAGTGGCGAGGAGTAAATATGCGTTGGGGTTTTTTGATGATTATGTCAGAAACACGTGCGAAATTTATATCGTCGTGACGCGAGAAACGTACATTGGTATTATCTGAGTTTCGCCGTTCGCTTCTGCAGCGCTGCAATACATCGTCTGTTGTGGAATGCGGTATATCTCATATGACTTTGTAACGTCTTTGACTGTATATACGCGGGAACGATACACGTTTCTTACAGTTAGTACTCGTTACGACGCTGCAGCGCAAAGAACGACAAAAGCCGATCGGGACCTTCGACCGCTGCTAGCAGCGAGTGATTTCGGTGAAAAATTAATAAAATATCCCGTAAATTGTTAGTGATCGCGTGCGCGAGTGCCATCGAACAAAATGTCCGGCGACGACTACGATCCCTATCAAAGTTCCAATGAAAACATCTACGAGTGCGACTGTTTTTGCGGAGGCGGCGACAGTGCCCGAGACAAAAATAATCGTGGCCCCCGAGACTCGACGGACGACGATCCGAAAATCCCGAGCTTGGAAAAATTGAGGACGTTGCGCGACAAGGTCAACTGGGAGAACGTGGAAGAGCGACGCCAACTGCTCAAAGAACTGCGTAGCCTCGTTGCATCGTGGAGGGGCCCGCTACCTAACCTCCTGGAGGTGTTTCGCGCCGAGGAGATCGATTGGCTGCTGTCGCGAGACGCGACGAAAATTGACTTCGGCCGAGGAAAGAAATTCATCGAATTCGCGGTGAGATGCGGCTACAAGGACAGGCTCGACCTGGACGAGTCGGGCAAGCCCCGAACAGCTCGTCGCACCACGCCCGTACATCTCGCGGCGGAACACAACCAACACGACCTCGGCGTGGACAGCGTACTGCGCCTACTGTTCGTGATCTACGACAGATTCGACGTGAATTACCTCGCGGAGGAGCTGGGAACTACCCACTTTCACTTGGCCTGCAGGCACGACCTCGTGGATGTCGTGAAAAAATACCTCGAGCTCGGGCAGGATCCCAATAGCCTCGAGCCGAGAACGAGTAAGTCGCCGATATATCTGGCTATCAAGAGAAACGCCGAGGACGTGCTCGCTGCGCTGCTGAGGCACGGCGCCGATCCCAATCTGGCACCGCGCAGCGACGGCAAGACTCCCCTCCACTGGATCTGCACCAGGTTCGAGCTGTACGACTGCGACGACTACAGGCTGATGGAGATCTTCTTTTGGGTCTGCGACCAGCTGAAGCTGAAGGTGCTGGTGGACGCGCGCGACAGCGAGGGCAGGACGCCGCTGCAGTGGGCCGTGGCCAAGATACAGCCGCGCATGGTGGAGCTGATCTTAAGCCACGGTGCGGATCTAGCCGAGTTCCGTTTTCCCGACCGCGGCTACTTCGGCCGCGAACTGAGACCGCCGGTGGACTGGGAGGAGGAGACGAATTATCAGCTGCGGCACGACGAGAAGGTGGCTTCGGGCGCGATGGACTGCGTCGAGCAGCTCGTCGAGGCGGGCTACCAGCTGGGCCTGAACGATATCCTGACGATCATGGGATTTTTCGTCGACAGCGGATACACGGAGATATCCATCGACGACGACGACGACGATGACGAGGACGATGAGGACGACGAGGACGAGGACGAGGACGACGACGACGAGCTGGCAGCGCATCTCTGCGAGGAGATGTCGCGATTTTTTCGCCGATGGAGCCTGGATCCATTCTACGCGGAGCTGATGAACTTCAAGCTGCCGAAGGAGTGCTGTGAGATGATCATCCGGCACCTGACGAATCGAGATTTGTACAACGTTTGCTTGGCGACTGCGGGACGAGAGTCGTGATTTTTTTTTCTATGTATTAAGAATGGATTGAATAAAAGATAAAATTGAATTCATTATTTACAGCTATTACATCGCTGCGACTGCAGCTTGATTATTTTCCTAAGAATTCCACTCCTCGCACGGTACATTTATAATTTGTAATAATAAATAAGAGAAGTTCTCGAGCTCATGGAGAGAAAGTACACACATATAGCAATGCGCGCACCATAGCGCGAGAGATCACACGAGCTGACGGCAGTTACGATTCTAATTCCAGTATCAAAGTCGCAGGCAAGGCACTTATTTCACTCGACGTTATAAATATTTATACGCTATTAAGACGGAGAAAAATAAGTCGGATACGTAATGTTTCTTTTTTTTTTTTTTTTTACATTTTCGTTAATCGCGATTAAAAAGTCGCGACTGTATCTCTTCTTCCATTCGAGTATCATTACGCATCGAGAGAAGAAAGCTCTCCCGCTGCCGGTGATTGTGTGCGCCGCGCGGATTTATTTAGAACAAAGTTCGCACACACACACGTGGATAGGTATGTATCTCATGGGTTACGTACACATACACAGACTGCACACACAGAGACGGATGAAAATGAGCACGCAACCGACTGACATCGATGCTGCTACATGCTTACTGACTGCTGCGGGAGCGTCGAAAAATTTCAATTGGCTCTCGACGATCGGGTATAATTGCGTACACAGTTTGTATATAATAAGCATCGGCGCGAGGTGTAATAATCCGGCTTCTATATGCTGTATCTCGTTACGTCTCGGCGCGATTTTTCCTAATTATCCCACGCTAAAATCCCTTCAGCGCTGTCGGCTTCCAGTTATTTTTTTTTTTTTTTTATCATCAATCCAATGTATATAACCCTGTCAAGAGCTAAAATGTAATAAGCTCGAGCCGGACAATAATTATATACTCGGGCAGCTTTGAGATGACGACGACGACGATCCGCGAAAGGTTTTTCTCTTCTTATTTCGCTCGGTTTTTCCGGTTTTCCTTTCCGCGCCTGCTGCACCGCGTACACACATCGTCGACGTCGTCGCGGCGTTTTATTTTGCATTCCGTACAGTATATACACTCTTGAGCGCGCGTCCGCTCGCGAGCAAAAGCCGTATAATTGCTCGTTCGAAGCTCTAGTTGCGCAATATATATAGATATTATATCGCTACGTATACGTATGTTACCCGTTTATTTTTTGCGCTTAATTATGCAATGCGAACTCGACGCGAGGCAAAAAATGAATCTAAAAAAGTAATCAAAGAAGTCCAAGTCGCGAGAGCGGCAGTGGTAGCAGCGTCGAGTTAATTGAATCAAGTCGGATCAGAGTCATACCCGGCATTTGAGCTTCCATAATCCCCGAACCGATGCCGTTGATGAATATTCTCCAGTTGCTGCGTGCGAAAAAGTAAGTTATTTTTGACTCGAGTCAAAATAAGATATAGCTATCGAAATGACAAATTTTACAAAGCACAATTCCAAAAAAAAAAAAATGACGTCTCAAAGTTATTATCGTATAAACGTAAAAGAGTCAATGTTCATTAATGTCTAAAAGCAACGATCTGCGGGATGAATGAAGTTGACTGCTTTGGACACCAGATGGCTCGGTCGAACTATATCGTAAACGCGCGGTCAAAATATAATTCATATTTCGATAAATGAGTGCGAACGGTTTTTGGTTGCTTTGAAAATGTTGTAGTGTATTGCACTGCTCAGAGTCTCAGACCTTTTTAAGATTTTATGATCGTCGATGTAGTAGCGCCGATGCATCTCCGTTTCTTTCTCGGCGTCGCTGCGCACCTGTTCGTCCCCGAGATGATTGATCGAATGTCACGCTTGGTGCAGTCGGTCCATTCGGTGTATATACCTTAAGATTAGAAAGCGAAAGTCGAGCGAAGTTGCGATATCGAGACAAGCATATTTGCAGTATTTTTCAATGTTGCAGATCTTTCGTATCGTTTTCGATAAATAAATAATTTATGAAAAAAAATTGAAATTATTCATTCGATTTGATTTTTACTTTTATGTTTTGATTTTGTTTCAATTTTACTTAAAAAAAAAAAAAAGAATTAAACACAAAGAGCAATTTTTCGTAATAAACGACTAGAAGCCAGTAGCCTTTATTAGATGCAATGCTCAATGTGTTCATTATACACGTATTGAGAAGCAGCAGCAGAAGTGGCAACGGCCAGTGACCGTAAAAGGCGTCCAGCATGAGATAGTCTATTGGTAAATACACGTGTGTGTAATAGGTATAAACGTTGCACAGCAGCGGCAGCAGCAGCAGCAGCAGCATTAGCTCGATGATTTTTTTATTTTACTTTACAAGCGTTAAACGCGATCGCGAGAATCGCAACAAAAAAAACTCCTCGTCCCTCGATATATACGCTGTCGTGCGTCGATGTATCCCTTTTTACTCGAACCGTCGTTAGATCGAAGCAGAACTTGGATGTCTAATGCTACGTATAATTTTTTAAATAATGCGTATACAAGTCCTACAAATGCGAATGTGCATACCGATACTCGATGCGGCGTAACGATCTCGATCGGCTTTTTTCGCGATTTCGAAACTTACTCTCGTTACACCTGATCTTGCCCTCCTCGCGCGAGATACTTATCCCTGGTGGAAATAATCAACATTGATTCGTCTCCGATGACCGAAAAAATGATCATTTAAAATGTCAAATTTAAATTTTAAATGGTATGTTAAACTAGGTTACAAATATTACGTGTATTTTCAATGAACATAAAATGACAGTCAAATTGTTAATAAAAAAATGTACAGACCAAATTATGAATACGGTATAAGACTAAAGTAACAAATAATGTAAGAATAAGGTAACGAGAAATTTCACTGTATCGCTTTCAGCCTTCGCCGCTAGATGGCGAATACCTATATGTATCTGTGAATCTGCAAGTAGAAAAGTCAAAGCGAATGTACAAATCAAATCAAAGCGTTGAGAAAATTTTAACCTAAACCC